TCTCCTTGTATAAACCTATTTCAACGCTCGTATTTGTGCTTCTTAATTTTAATCTTATTTACACGCGTTCTCAGTTTACACACTATAAATTCCATTTGAACTTTACCATTTTCTATGGTAATCAAGAAAGAAATTTTCTTTAATTCCTTATTTTATTTTATTTTATTTTATTTATTGGCTGTTTGCATTCTTGATAAAAGTTTAAATTACTTTATTACCCTCCCATTTCAAAGAAAGACTTTCATGCATCGGTGATATTATTATGTCCTTTGTGCGGTGGACTGTGCCATCAACCAATTTATATCTCGTCATATAAGTAAAGTGCTTTACTTTAGTGGGTCGTATCATTATAAGTCAATATTTAATAATTTGGTGATACCATGTTATTAATACAACATGAGTAATAAAGTATTTCTCCTCATTCAGGGCTAGGCACGACTTGGGGCGTGACAATGTTGATAACACTGTAAATGAATTAAGCTTTCAACAAATAGCTCGAGCTTGGTTCGTGTTCATTTATTTAATAAATAAATCAAGCTCAAATAGAATTATCAAGCTTAATTAATCAATGATCTAAACTCAAACACCTCTCTGCTCGTCTCCTTTTAGTCTAGTCTGTTCATATTGATTTTGGAAGTTACTGGCGATTGATTTTCTGATTTTGGGACTCATTGTTGATGGAATTTTCTTGGTGGTGGTTCTGTGCATTTCTCAAGTATCACTTGCATCCACCTCTTCCATAATGATACTCTGATAAGTTAATTTCTAACCAAATTTATCATATTTATTTCTCTCTATTTTTCTCAAACTTTTCTGATAAGTTAAGGCATCCAACAATTTTAAACCAACCATCGAGCCAAACTCAAGCCTTGTCAAACATAAAGGAGCTAAGTTGGGATGTTATTTTGTGGGAGAAATACTTTAATGCTCTTGTTATTTTGATGACATGATATCACTAACTAATTAGATGCTAACGCTACTAAACAAATGCACTTTTTAATGATATGGTATCACCGGAGCGGAGAAGTCTTTTCTCATTTTATGGGCTCAATTCGAGCTCAGTGTCACGGGCCTAGAGATTTGGCGCAGCGGCACGGCCCGTGCGGCACCAAGGCGTTGCTTCAGCTCGCGCAAGCGCCCTGGTCAGCCACCACGACCTGCCCTCCCAAGGATACATGCTGACTGGTTTCGGCCTGCCATGGCCTCATCAGGGGAACGGCTCCAGCTCCCGACCAGTTTGTGCAGGGATGGCCAACTCCCTTCTTCATAGTCAAGTCCAAGACTAGCGACAAGTACCTCGAACTGAACCGAGTCGACCTGCCTGAACTCTGAAGAGGTACCATCCTGTGGTCCTGCACGCCCCTTCCCTGGAACCATTCCCAATCAATGAATGTTCTTAGCCAACCAGCATGCGTGTCTTCTATGCTCATGGCGTCGTTAGGAATCGGATCGTGACATCAGGCACTCTTACTGTTTGACCGAGCCAAGTTAGAACACACCAATACTCTCGTTCATGGCCCTAAATGTGAACGTACATGTTAAATTATATAATGAGATCCAAGTGCTACTTTCCACATTTTAATAAAATCTACATATTATCCTTCTTTAAAAAAAGTAAATAACCTTCTTTTTTTATTTTCTTATTTGTGGATTGTGACTTAGTCATAAACTTATTCAAAATGCATATAGGGTTTTAAGCTTCGTTCTTGAAATTGAACATGTACTTAGATTTTGAAACTCCACATTTTAGTTAGATTCCATTGCTGGATGTTGTTTTGAGATGGAAAATTCTATTTTGGTAGGTGACTTTTGATAATATTGTTCAAGTTTAAGGATGCCAAGTATAACCTACAATTGTTGGGAAATGGCCTTTTTAAATTCAGTAAAAGTATGTAATTACCTAAGGTCTTATTCATGTGTAGAATTTTGTGTTTGATGAAAATACAAAATGATATATACATATACACACCTAAGAGTGTACAGGAATGCTCACCAAAGAGATTTGTGAAAATCTCAACACAAATCCATGAAAGGTCAAGCTCTAACTCTTGTCCTCCAAGCTTTGATCCAACGTCCTTGAAACTCCTATGTCTTTAAGAATCGCTTATATGACCTTTTTAATGAATTTTCCTCATGTTATTGTTAGTGGGAACAAGAGATGTAAAAGACAACTCTAAAAATGAAAAGGTAGTGGAGATAGATACAGGAAAGTATAAGTATTAATTATATATATGTGTATCATCTTATATTAAAGGTTAAAATTTTAACTAGGATGATTTTGATTAAAAATATTTTATTTATCGGTTTTCAAAGATTTGTTAGAGGGAATTTATTTGTGGATTTAATCCACGATTTACTTTCTAGGCTCGAGATTGAGGATCCGCAACTGGGAGACTGTCATTTATCTACTCATCTTGTTTGCTTTTAAATAGTATTGTTATTTATTGTTATATATTATGTATAAACTGATAAATTAATAGTGTATGGTGTAGGACTCCTTGACTTATAGAATTTCTTAATTGTATTTTAGAATTTTAAATTCATGTAATTTATTTTTGTAAAGGAGATGTTATTTTATCAATAGAATTTCGTTCAACGATGTATTCATTCTTTTTATTCCTTTTGTATTCTCTGTTCATTTAAATATTAAATTATTTTAATATCTCCGAATTTTTTGAGTGTAAGTCTGACCAACCTATACGTAAAAATTTGGAAGTATCAATCGTTTTTCAGTTGATTACAGTTGGATACTAGATTTTTTCTCTTTATAACGTTTTTCAGTTGTCATACCTATAATCACACCTTTAGATATCTTTAAGACGACTCCTCTGTATATAGTGTGACTTCTTGGAGTGTAAATAACAACTCCTGCAGAGTGATTGTATCAATCTAACATTACAAATTAGGTGCCCAACGAAACAAGAAGGCATAATGAATTTGGAAAAGTCGTGAAAAGAATCTCGAGCCGGTGAGTCTAAGTTCCAAACCTGCTAAATCGTTGAGTCATTTGTTTTTTATTCTCTATTCCCTTATGTCATATATATTGTGCTTGTTTTGAATATATTCATATTATCTTTATTGCACGATTTAAATTGATAATTGCATAGCCTTGCTTAATTTTTTAATCCGGAGTATTTTTCAACCATAGACTCTATTCAGCCCTTATTTTTTTTTTCAAAACTTTTCTTTGGCCAGTCCAACATTTGTGAAGTCATGTTCAACATGTGTCGCTGTTAGACTCATATTCTTTAATCTTATAGTCGTATCCGTACTTCCTAAATTACGATGGATGTGAAACAGTAGAGAGTGAAGAAACAAGTGAACCAATTTACGTAGCTTTATTTTGGATAAAAAAACATTTGTGGACTTTTTGAAAGAAAAAAAATATTTGGATGCAAGAATATATGGTGTGGGGTATTTTAAAAAATGGGTGAAAATACGAGAGATAATTGATTATCATTAATGTGGGGAGAGTGAAAAACAGATTGCAAAAAAGATAGATTATCATTTGGATCCAAAGAACTAGTGGGAGCAAGAATATATAGTGCTTTTTTTCTTTTTTTCTTTTTTTTTAATTGAAATTTAGTATTAATACTACACTACATCGCCCCTATTGTTATTATTTTTATATCACGCATCCCCTCTGTTAAATAGAACATACAATCCTTATAGAACAAAATCGTAGCAATAATTAGTGGTTGTCCAATTGGGAACTTTTGTATCTAAACCACTGGTTAAAGGCCTTTTTCAACACATAGCAATAATTTTTCTTAACTTTTAGGAGGAAAGGGTTAGAAAGAGAATAGAGTTTGTTTTAAAAAAAAAAGCTGTTAGAAAGTGGATAGAATTAGAAATTTTATACTACTAAAAATGTATTATAAAATAAAAGAATAAATAATGTGCTAAAATTAAATAATATACTGGAAAAAATAATTTACTGAAACTCAATAAAGTACCGAAACTTTTGTACTTTAAACAATAGTATGAAATCTAAATAAAGTACTGAAAAAAAAAAAAAAAATCTAGATAAAGTACAAATTTCAGAACTTTATACAATAAAGAATATTGTACTAAAACCTTTTGTACTTTTGTAAATTTCATAATATTATACAAAAAAAATAATAATAAATAAGACAAACATACACGCATACACAAATTTCAAAACATTATACAATAGTATGAAATCTAAGATCACATATTTTATATCCCAAATTGATAAAAGAATCGATTTTTAAAGATAAACAAACTGATAAAATAAAGCATAAGAAGTTTAAAGGATGAAGAAGGGATTATCTCTGCTAATTGAGAACAATTGACACAAGGGAGAAGTCTCGAGAACAAAAATAAATAAATAAATTGCTGAATGGGGGAGAAGAATTTTAAGACGGGGAAAAGTCAAAAGTCAAAAAATTAAAAAAAAAAAAAAAAGAGTAAGAAAGTGAATAGAATATAAATTTATATTACTAAAAATGCATTATAGAAAATAAATAAAATATATAGAAAATAAATAAAAAATAATGCACTGAAACAAATAATGAAATGAAGCGCTTTGTACGTTACTAATTGTCGATCAAATCTTAGAAAATTTTAATTTTAATTTTAATTTTTTTTAAAAAAAAACAGGAACCTAGTTTTTGGTGAGTTCATTATTGTGTTAATTTACTTTTTTACCCTTGTAAAGGAAGAATACTTAATTGTTATTAAATGTAGCTTTCAATTTTTTTTTTTTTTCTTTTCTTTTGACCTTAGGAGGTAATCAACCAACCCTATCTAACTTTTAAAAGCTTCTAAACTAAGTTAGAAATTGAAACAAAAGATACAGATTCCAAGTTTGCTTTATAAAGTTTGTCAACCTAAAAAAAGTTTGTCCATTCCTTATTTATTTATTTATTTATTTAAATTCATTTTCTCAGGAAAATAATAATAAATAAAGAAAAAGAGAGAGAAAAAAAGAAAAAGAAAACACACACACACATGTATGTGCTCTTAAATATGGTGAGTTCCGATAAATTAAAGCATTTCTTATATCCGGCCAGCAATGCGATTGAGCAACAACAAAAATAACATGGCAGATAACCAAAAGTGTATCTAATAAAAATGACAATACATATAAATATTTATAGCAAACGAGAAATATGGTTTTCAATACAAAATGAATATAATATTAATTAAAATGGGAATGTCAAAAGATTGGTAAAAAAAACTACCAAAAACTAGCGTTTCTTTGTCTTATCCTGGACCACCCCTTCATTTCCTGCTAACATCAAATACTTATCCCTCCTTGTAAGACTAGTGCATTCAAAACCCAAAGCATCAGCCAGTTGTCTCTGTAGATGATTAGCCACCTCAAAGCTAGACCTCCCACCTGCGCATGTTAGCTCTCTGGGCACCTTCCCAAGGATGTGAATATAGTAGGCAGGTCTAGGGTTCATGAGGAAGAAGATTGGGTCCAAGCATTTCAACCCACTTGCAGTAGTCCCATAAAACATGGACACATGTGTGTTTATGGCCACAGGAACAATCTCATCAGCAAGCTCAGCAAACAAAGAGCTAAACCTCAACAGATATGGCTCTCTACAAGTGGTTCCTTCTGGACAAACCACCAAATCACCTTCACTGAGCAGTTTTTGCATGGTTTCACCATCTTGCTTTCTGTCTCTTGTTAACCTAACTGTTCTGATTGGAGATATGACCTCGGACATTTTGCTTAGGCTGTATGTGACCGCGGTCAACGGCTTACCCAGCGATGTGCTTAGGAAGACAGGGTCCAAGAGGGTCCTGTGGGTGCAAACAAAGAGGACCCCCTTTCCATTCTGTGAGCTTGAATGGTTGCACCCTTTGAACCTAATGTTCACACCACTCAAAGTGCCCAAAAAGATGGCAATCTTGTAAGGCAAGTAGATTCCCACACAAAGCCTGAAGATGCCTAGGACTATGCCTATAGGAAGCCACATGAACATACAGAGAGTTGCTAATGGTGTAGGCAGGAAAGCTAGCCTCCCATCATGAAACACCAGAGGCTTTGGATATCTTTCCCTTGGCATTACTGAATTACAATTGCTTTTGCTATCTTCCTTGTTCACCACATAAGCTTCCTGCAGTCACAAACATGGATCCAACAATAAATCAACATCAATTAATTAATAGCTATATATATATAAATATGTCCATATGCATGTGTTGGTTCATTTTACTAGATTTGTGTATATATATATATATATATATATATATTAGATTGGGATAGCTTAATCAAAGCATATTAATTGCATGTCAACATGGGTGAGAATTAAAAATCCATTGCCCTTTTTGGTGAAAAGGGTGTCATAATATGGCCCATGTTTTCTTATCTTAATTTGTAGGCAACTTGTACAAAAGAGGAATAAAAACATGTTCATTTAGATGATCATAACCAAAACAGGCAATAAGAAAAGGACATTGGATAACTATATATCACATCAAAATTACTCAACTGTCCTTTCTTTTCTGTACTAGCTAGTAATAAACTATGTTCATATATTGTACTAATTAAGAAGTACTGAAAAGAAATATACCTTGCAAAGTGAGATAAAGAGGTGATCATGAAGGCTTGAGCCTCCAAGTCCAATGTCAGGCTTTTTCTCTCCAAAGAACTCCTTAAGAGCTCTGTGCTTTACAAGCAATCCATTAGCAGATAGTAAACCACTAAAGTAGTGCCCATTAATAGTGTGCAACTCAGTCCCTATAACATCATCAACACTCATATACTCCTTGAGAAAGCCTTCAACCATCACGCTAGGAAAGCTTGTGAACACAACTTTAGAACCTGTTGAAGCCAACACTTGATAGGCTTGGAGGTTGAGATTCTCAAGGTAAAACTTGGGCAAAACAGCACTTGAAACAGTCTTCATGTCTTTCAATCTAAGCCCACAGAAGGTAATGAAAATCATCACCCTTAGCTTGAGCTCATAGTCCAAAACCCACAATAGAGGGCATGAGAAAAGCAAGAGGAAGGCTCTGAAAATACTACCACCTTCAAAGGCAACAAGCATGAAATAAGGGAAGAAAGATTGGGACCTTAGCAAGGCACCATGAACATCACAAACCAAAGTTTGAGACCCTCTACCCTCTAGACCACCACACTTGGTCACACTAGGGTACAAAGGAGGCTGGTGTGATGATCTATGAGATGGGTTTCTTAAAAAGAAACCATAGTAGTTTCTCATCTTCCTCAGTGCTCTGTAACATGAGTTGGCCAAAAGCTGGTACAGGAGCCAGTCAGATAGCTTGAGAAGTACCATGGGGAACACCATGGTTTTTCTGGCACTGTCAATATTGAATATGATTTTGAGTTCTGCTGCTGGGGTACTTGACAATGAAAACAAGTGTGTGTTTGTGTGTGAGAGAGAAAGAGAAAGAGAGAGAGATAGAGAGGAGGGGGGGGGGGGGGGGGGGGGGGGGGGGGTGCAGGCTGATCTGAACAGAACAGGAAGGGTTGCAGAGGGTATTTATAGGAGCAATAAAGGGTGTAATGGAGAGGTTGACTAAATGCATTTGGTTAAGCCACACCGTTGGCATTAATTATGCTCCCCACATTTATTCCTTTTATTTTCTTTTCTTTTTCAATTTCGGGGTAAGTGCCCTCCTCATGAAGTTGCAATTTTTTCTTCCTTGGTTAGCAACAAATACATTGGTAGGTTGAAATGTTGGTGACCTTCTTTTGTTGTTTTTTGTTTTTTTTTTCTTTTTCTTTGAAAGATGTAACGTATGGTTTTTGTTTTAAATCTCTGTCTCTTTCTCTATCTCTCTCTCTCTCTCTCTCTCTCTACGGATGTGTATTGGAATGTGTGCGCATGTTTAAGGATACCATTGGGCCCTACTGTTTATCAACAGTATATAGATAAGCGCAGCAGACCATGAATGTGTTTTCAACTGAAGCCACTGGAAGGTGCATGTGTTAGATGATCTACACCATCTGATCAATTGACATCTTCAATTCTTGGTCAAACCTTACCAATTTAACTCATTTGTTAATTAAATACTATTGACTTCTTAAAAAAAAATAAAAAAAAACTCAACTGGGTTAGTAGTTGCATTAATTAATGGAAATTTTTGAATTTAAAATGTTTATGCTGTTTAAAATGTTTATGCTGATGATCATTCCTCGTGATAGTCACAACTATTACATGCTTGATTGTCTTGATACAAAAACTATATTTATGATCAATTCAATTGATCCATGACCTTGCAAATTCTCTTTGATTGGATTCATTAAATGTGAGGTCCCAATGGGGTTGTGTGCATTAATAATGTTTCGTATACAATTTTCTTCCTTTAAAAGTTGTTTCACATCTCATCAGTAATTCACCAACAATTTCAAGCCTTTATTGTCCTTTACGTGTTCAGATTTTGTCTTAGAACAACATTATATTATAATGCAATCCACGGTGTTTACACATGTGAGCTATTACAGTTGTCTATTACAATACAAATACAATGACAGAGAATTTTAACTTGTTCTTTATAGAGATCGGCATTTGTTTTAAACAAGTTGAGTAGACAAGACCATGTGATAGATTTAAAAATGCCAGATTTTAAAATAATTTTATTTTTAGGATAATAAGATTTCAAAAATGTCCAAAAGACTAGTGGATAAATTCATATTTGAAACGGTGAGATTTCTTCTTGTTCTTGTGGCAGTTAAGATCATGCAATTCTCATTAATGGGTTGGTGAACCTTCAATCATTTGATGTGAATGCTTGATATTTAACATGCATAAGATTTGCATGTAATGTAAGAAGTTTGAGCAATCTATAGACACCCAATTTCTTATTTATTTATTTTAATCCTTTCGTTTTTCTTTTTATCAGAAGGATGAGAGGTTTCCTCAAACACATAATTTAATTAGGGTTAATATATTCAATAACGTTTCAGTAAGATTAATAAAATCGTATACGTGATAAAGACTGAATCACCGAACCGACATCTCATATTTATCTATATACTTCACTCAATAAACTATAGATGTTCTTCGAATTCAGCAATTAAATTCTAAACCATAGATGTGGATCACTGGATTGTTATGACATGTTTTAAAATATAGTTCACAACATTTTGATGATATTTTGCGCATCCATAACAGATATATGTTCCAACAGAACAATGCATGCAAAGTCAATTTTGTAAATTTGAAAGTCACGAATTGGACTGTTAGGGTGCAGAGGAACATGGTCCCTCCAAATTTATTTGAAATCCCATCATACATAATAAGCTGGCAACTGAAAGAAGTACCACAAGTTGTCTCTTACCATTATTATTATTATTATACTATTATATATTCTTTTTTTTTTTTTTTTGGTGATAAAAACAAAGAAATGCTTTGTATTCATTGTATGAGGTGTACAAAGAGCTAAAACATAAGCCAACATCAAAACAAAAAAAACTAGTTAGAGACAAATAACCACCACTTCAACTACCTCACCACAAAATCACAAATCTCTCCTCATTCTATTTCCGTTTTCTAAGGCACAAGTAAGGTTTTCGGTCGGGTCACATTCATGGTGTAATGAAATCGAATATTATCGTAGTCCTAAATATTTTTTGATTATTTTTTTTTTAGGACCTTACAAGAAGAGTTAGTAATTAATGAAAATAGGAGTAGGAGATTATAGGGTAGGTATACTTAAGGCCTAACCCTTTACCACTACACCTTAACATAAGTTAATAAAGATGAATTTTTAATAATTTTTATTGAATTTTGGAAACTCATTGAACACATTTGATTAATATCCTATTCATGAATCCTGGGTTTATGTTGTTATAAAAAAGGCTAAGTGTACTTTTTTATATATATGAAATTAATGAATAAGAGTAAACTCAATTATGAAATAAATAAAAATGCGTACCATATATAACATGTAATAATAAAAAAATAAAATTTTTTTGTAGGGGTTCAATCTGTCTTGTAATAACCTATTCATGAATTTTTCTTGTATATAGTTGAGGGTTAATAATAAAGATACAAAGTAAACCATGACATTTTATGTTGACCAAACAAAAAAAAAAATAGAAGGCATTAAAGGCTCTTTAGCTAACGGTATAACCTCCTTATTATCAATGAGGAGGGGTCCGAGCCCGAGTGTGAACAAAAAGACACCAAAGACTCTTTACTTTTTGTATGATGTTAGCAAACAAACATCTCTGGCTAATGTTTGTTGGTCTTTTGTTCCCAGCTCTGTTGTTATTTTTTGAAAGGTAAACTCTGTTTCTGTTTTTGGATGCTTAAAAACAATATATATATATATAAATAATAACAAAAACTGGTATGTAATATGTATATAATAGATTAAGTTGTATATATATAAATCTTGTAAGGCACGACCATCAAGCAAAAAAACAAACATGTTTTCCATGAGATAAAAGGAGGAGGATGTGAGATATTGTTTATGTATTGGCAATTATCGTAGGCATAACAAGTCCAAGTTGAGTTGTAATTTATATTACTTGTCCTACAAGTTATCAAGGTCAACAGGAATTACACAACTAGGAAGGAGTTCAAACTTACCATACTTGAAGAATTTTGAGGAAAAAGGTAAGAACACCACAATGGAAGGATTCTAAACAAGGTTGGACATTCTACACTTCCTATTTTCTTAGGAACAATTGTTTACATTCTGTCCATCTTAAACTGGTTCAAGATTTATCGAACATGTTCAACTTGAACTGGTTCAAGATTTACTGAACAGGTTCAACTTCAGCATAGTCGAGATTTTACACACTATCTATCTTGAACCGGTTCAAGATTTATTGAACTGGTTCAAGAAGTCCTGTTCATTATACAACTTGAGTTTCCTTCTTCTGAATGTTTTCTTTTTGATCCCAACTTTCTTCTAAGTCCTATGCACGAAATTTACCTTATTTTCAGAGGGATTAGGTCATTCTATAATTTATATAAACCATGTCATATACATCGGTTTATTCACGGTTTTTACATTATAAGTCATATATTTTTCAAAGCCTTAGGAAGTTTCTTTCTCACAGAAAATTAAAATTGATTTTTCTGTAGTCTTCCTAGATCATACACATATTCACCTAGATAGGTTAGAGTTGTGGTGTTCGAATCCTGATCATGATCATATAGTTGTATCAACATCGATCAGACGAAGCAGATCTTCTTCTACATCATTCAGACGATTGAAGAACAGAAGTAAATGCAGTCACACTTTGGAAGGATTGGAGCATTCGTGGAGTACTATCTGATCTACCTGCTACTCTTCTACAAATATCAAGTGTCAGTCTGAGATCAAGTTGCTGTTGGACGGGGAGTCGCAAAGTCAGAGGATCGTCAGCGGTTGGTGTGGTGTAAAACAATAGGGTGTGAGCCAGAGTCAAAGTTCAGTATACTTTGTTTTAAGCATAGTGAATTGGTTTATTTTGGACTGCACAAGTTCACAAGGTTTTTCCCACAGTTGACATATTTTATCAACTGGGGTTTCCTCGTTAAAATCCTGGTATCATCTTTAACTTATACTTTGCTTGATTTTATTTGCATGTGATTAACTGTTTAATTGCTAAAATATAAAATAAGTAAAGTAAGGACACAGATCTGTTTTATAAAAACAAACAAAAAACTTTTCTATATACATTCCGCTGCGTACGACTCACAATTTGGTATCAGACCCAACCTCTATACATTAAGTTGATCCTTGTTGGAAAGTTTTGTGTTCAAAAAATTATTTTAATCATGTCTTATGCGTTGAAAGAAGGTGGTTCTAATCAACGTGGTTCCTTATTTAAAGGAGATAATTACAATTTTTGGAAATCAAAGATGAGAGCCTATTTGCAAAATTCTAGTGGTAAAACTTGGGCAATAGTTGAATCTGGCTATACACCTCCTACAGTAGATACCACTGTGGATGGTAAAATAGTCAAAGAGTTAAAAGATACTTTTGCTTTTACTGCTATTGAAACTGAGCGTAATGATACTAATGGCAAAACTTTATATTCAATTATTAATTCTGTTGTTCCATCTGAATATACTAGAATTTCTGATTGTAAAACTGCTAAAGAAGCTTGGGATATTTTGCAGGTTACTCATGAAGGAACTTCAAAAGTGAAGTTGTCCAAAATTCAGTTAATTTCTCATAAGTTTGGCAACATCGTGATGAAAGAAGATGAATCATTTTCTGATTTTTATTCTAGTCTTCTTGAAATAATCTCTGAACAACATCACTTAGGGAAAAAAGTTAGTGATAAAAAAAATCTGTGAAAAAATCTTAAGGTCTTTACCTAAGAGATTTCAGATTAAGGTTG